ATTAGACTAGTTTGCTTGTACTTTCCAGAACGCACAGCCTTCTCACACCATTCTCACACGGATCACGGCATCCAGAGGGGTTAGCCACGTCTGCTACACTGCCGCTGACATACTGAAGAGACGGATGTTGTTACGCAAGTACACCTTCCCTGGTGCAGACGACATTCGCCCGAAGGCGTTGCAGAACAAAGGAATATTTTAGCCGATAACACCACTTGCGATGATCTCCAATGTGATGGAGTCTGCTGGCGCCGAGGCGTTCATGGATCACTTAGGGTAACGGATTTCTCTTCAGAGCTGCATAGACTTTGTAATACTCGACCAAAGACTAAGAACGTACTGTTAACCCGTGTTTACTGGACGGAATCCGCTCATACTGCCGCCGTCTGCTGCATTTCCCAAAGGCATTTTGCTGTCCGGATCATCACACTATACCTCACAAGCTACTGAATTATGGAATCAGCGATCCCGTTATGGGCTTGATCGGTGACTTTCTCGTTCGGCGTTACTTGCATGTGACACCTTGAGGCGCCGTATCCGACCTATTCGAGGTTCATTGCGGTGTACGTCAAAACTCGGTACTCGATCTCCGCCTGTTCCTAGTTTTTATAACTCGCCTCACCAGGCTGCTACCCTTAAAATTCCTACCATTCACCATTGATTTGAAGATACAGCGTGCTATCACAATAGTGTAGGATCACACAGCCCTGCAAAATGATCTGATTAAACTTGCACGCGGTTCACTGAGAACATGCCCTAGTTCAATGCCTCCAAGTGTAAACTTCCAAGCATGAGCCATCGGAGTCCTCAAGACTAACGGTTGGGTATATAATTACTACAGCAGGTTTCTCATGAGTGCGATCTCGGAGCGTTAGTGCAAGATGACCCTGGTTGTTTGAAATAGACGGAAAGACCTCGAAGAAAACAAATCGGTTAGTTCGGGAAGTTCGACACTTCATTCTTCCCGAACATACTTGGAACATACGTGAGATCGCTTGTAGAATACCCCATTTGACCGTAGCATCTTTGTCAGAGGCGTTACTTCACTGAGCTCGAAACTGCACAACACAGGACGACAAAGAATTTCAAAGGTTTTTCCCACATTCCCTACTCCTGCTGAAAACTCATAAGTGCACAGCGGATGTTATCGGCGTTTACGGGACGGTCTCAGTAATGTATAAGATCCTAAAATACCCAACCACACATGCCACCATCACTAGAAACTTAGCAAAAAGACATCTCCGACGGGCTATCAGTTTAAGATTGCCACACAGAATGCCTGAGTCTAATGTCGAATAAATGTTTTCTCTAGTGTCACAACACTGAAACGATCTCCCAGTGCATGGAATTACCGCGTCCACCCCAGCATCATTCAAAAAAAAGGACTTGACGACGCAGTCGCAAATTTTCATTACGTTAGATAGCACGTGGTCGTCAATTTGCTGCCTCATTGTCCGACAACCAGGGGGACGGTATCATACTAATCCTTAAAATCCAGGCAAGAATACTCATATCTTTGGTACTACAAACCTCTTGGTGAGCCATGTAATTTGCGCCCGCTTTTAGCAACCTTGTGCTTTTATCTTGTAATTTTCACCCTACCATCCTACGGGACTTGTCAAGCGTTTTCTTTAACACCCGTTATAAACCGTTGCTTCATTGTTGCTTAATTGTATTCTTAGGTCGGTTCAAAGCTTAGTGGCTTCGTTTACATGCATATTTTTCAAATATATTCTCTAGATCCACAGTCTTCAGTTGTTGTACTAGCAGTTACCCAATTGTCCCACAACGTAAGTAAGCCAGAAGTAGATTATTTAGTCAGCCATCTAATGTCTGTGTTTAAAATGCATAAGCAGTTCATAAAGCGAGCAGCAGCAGGATACTTTAAACAAGACTCAGCATATTCCTCTCTCTCTCTCCCTCGAATAAACCAACTTAAATTGCTCATGCGTAGGAGGATTTCAGTTTTTATTTAATGTATTTGTCCCAGCAGCTCACCATCTACATGGCACAATTTCCCTCCGGAAAAGCATCAGACGCGCATTATGTCCTACTGGGGCTCGTCAGTGGTGGTCTCCTTTTAGCCACGAACACCAGATATGAATTACATATTTGACATGAGGACGAATATAGGAGTTAAGCAACATCGGTACTAGCTGTCGCTCAAAGGTACTGAGAGCTCGCCTCAAAAGTCGCAAGTTCAAGTTTGCCACACTTGCTGCTTTGAATATTGGAACGAGTTGCCAAGGCTCCCTTGCAGGATTATACCTAAGTCGCGTTCACTAGTCAAGTGTTGCAGGACGTGTTTCCCCAAAAGATATGTGTTGAATAAGCTGCTGCGCACCATAAGCAGGTGGCACTTTGCATAGTTCAGTGGGAGCTGGTTCCTATCTGCCCATTCCTTAATCCGAGTCAGATCTTCCTGGAGGTAGACACGGTCAGATGCTGAGCGAACTGCTCTCCATATTTTAGCATCGTCTGCAAATATTCGCATCGGGGATAGTAAGTCTGCTAAAAGGTCATTAACATAGACTAAAAACGGTAGCGGGCAGAGGACTCATCCTTGCGGTACACCACTGGAGATGCACATACTTTCAGCAAGTGTCGGCTAATCTCACCTTTATTGCTCTGTCGTGTAAGTAGTCTTCTAACCATGTGAGCGGGGAACCGTTGATACCGTAGACAGCAAGCTTTTGGAGGAGAAAAAGTGATTGAGCCTTCAAATGGTTTAGAAAAATCTAAGTAAATCAGATTTATGGGCACGCCTTCATCAGCCGTCCTGGTTCATGAGTCCCGAGTAAGCAGCAAATTGGTAAGACAAAGTTGTTTGGGTCTGAAAACATGTTGGGAATCAAAAATTATTTGTATACTTTCAAAGTATCGCGTCAGTACAGTTGCGATTACCGATTCCATCACTTTGATAAAATAGGAAGGAGAGTAATAGTTCGCTAGTTGGCAAGATCCGATCGCTTACCTCCTTTGTACATTGAAGCGGTAATTCCGTTTTTCCACTCAGATGGGAGTGTATGGAAGTTAAGCAGACCCTGGAAAAAGGTTGCAAGTGGAGCTGCTATTGTGGGAGAAAAGAGTTTTAGTACGTTTTGGCAGATCATGTCCATTCCAGGGGCACTGTATTTCCGGAGAAACTGTAATTTGCTTCCAACAACTGCTGGAGTCAAGGTGAAGCTGGACAAGCCAACGACATTTGTTGGGAGTCGATAGGGCGAAGGTTCCATGGTGTCTGTAGCTACAGAGCCAAATTGCATGAGTAGAGCGCTCGCGGCATCCACAGCCGTAGTTGTTAGGCTACCGGCTGTCTTGAGTGGTCGTATTCCGGACTTGACCTTTCTTCTGCCATTCATAAATTTGTATGGTAGTTTGGTGTTACTCGTAAATTTCAGCACCATGGTCTTCCGCCATTCGTACTTATCGACGCTAACGCGCGACCTGCAGTATGTTCTGATTGCTTTGTAGTTCTGCCATGTGGTCTCGCATGGGCTTAGCGAATGTTGCCTCCAGATCTCATCTCTTCTGTTTGTCCATTTACGTGTACTGATTCGGATCCACGTATTGGTCCGGCGCGATACTCGTAATGGTACAACCTTCGATGTTGATTGCATGACCCAATTAATTTTGTCTTTCGGTTCATTCCACGCGTCATTCGCTGAACTGTGCTTCTATAGGTCCCAGTCAACGGCTGCTGCTAAGTCGTACAGCTTAAAATAGTCCGTAATAGTTCGTTGAGCTGCACTTTCTTTATCAACAATACTGACAACACACACATGACCAAATGTTAGGACTGAATGGTCGCCACGGCCCAGTGGAGGATCGTACGCTACTGACTCAACCATCAACTCTACATAAGTCAGGATTAGGTCCAGGGGTGATAGCTTGTTTGAACCGCGGTGTCTGGTTGGTCGTTGCATTTGGTTATATAAAAATGCCATATCCATGAAGTCAAGGAGCTTTGTTTTAAATGATGGCCCATTAGGGGACACTGATGCTATTGAAGGAACATTAAAGTTGTCCATTATAAGATAATGAAAGTACTTTTGTGGAACAGCATAGCGGAGAGCATTTAACAGAATGCTAGCGCTGTCTGCTGACGAGTTCGGAGGCCTATAGTTAATTGCTAAGAGGCAAGCATCACGTTTCTTCTGCTAACCAACATCTCGACCTGCTAAGTGCGTCGGGAATAACAAGAGAATCTTCGGTAAGAGCCTCACCTTTTACCTGATCTCTGTAGTTGAGAGCAACACCGCCACCGCGCGATGGACGATCATTTCGGATGACTGACCCCATGTTGGATGCTTCACTAGGTATATAAGTCTACAAAGAAGTATTAAGTTTCTGCTTTTTAAACCTCGCAGCGGACGGTAGCTACGTGTGTTAGAGCCTTGTTCCATCCCCCAAACCATCTTAGTACTGAAGCTCAGGGAACACCGTCGTAACGAAATGCTATAATAACGCACTACGTCTCCTAGGACCCTAACCGCGTGTTCCGCAATCTCCTGATGTGAGGTCACAACAGTAACATTGCAGATCATAAACTGCCATTCACATTTTAGCATGGCCGGTTGCAAAACAGTTGTCTTTGCCGTGTCTGAGTTCGTCGGCTGTGGGACAACATTCTAACTTGCCTTATTTGTACTCTAGTTTCACACTCGCTCAAGTAAGGAAATGGCGACAAACTGTAATCTCTTTTCCAGTTACTGCAGTTTATTCCCATTGAAAGAAGACATAAAGCGTACAGGGTGTCACAAGATATCTCCATAAATCCATACAAGTAATATGGTTCAATGGTTCAATGCATGTGCATAGATTAGTATTCCGATTTTTCCACAGTTACGCACTTTATTTATTAGCAAGTTAGTTTTTGGTCTTGCATTCTCTGTCCTGCTCCTCGTGTAGAACATGTTAGACGCAAGTTCATTGTCTTCAATACAAACCGACCCAATGTAATCATTAACAGCGATTCCTTTCCGATCTTGTAAACTCACCATCTTTGTCAACTTGGTTCATCATATCTTGTAAGTCAGCTGACGAAGCCTGGTGTCCCAGATATTGCACTGTGGTAGCCAGTTCCTCAGTTGTGATAACTCCGTCTCCGTTTTTGTCGAAAAAGCGAAACGCTGCCCGAATGTCTGAAACAGAGTCAGAATCGCTACTTTACAAGTGGGTGCGCAAGTTGGTGAATGTATTTAGAAAAACAGTAAACTTTTTACATTTGAAATGGTGATACATGTTGATGAACCCAACAGCCTGGTTCACACACAGAATGCCAGGGTTGCAGATGTCACTCAAATGTTTTTTACTTGGTCCTTGGGAAGCAGTTACGATTGATCCCTCTAAAATAAGGGGTTGGATGCACCCGGGTGCCAGACATTGGAACTTATCCCCAAATCGTTTTACCATACCTTGAGCGGATCAGATAGTGAAGGTGATAGATATTGGTGGTAGCAAAGATACACTGGACCCAGCTACGAAATTCAAGTACTTTTATCTAACGGTTTTCGAGAGTAGGGAACCGTAACCTATTGATAGCATGCCGATTTGCTATGCTTCCTAACTATAAATACTGATCTACAGAACCAGAAGTGATAAAGCGTCCTTAGCTTTCGCGTTTATTTTACCTAGTCGATAGGAAAAAAGCATAACTTGGTTCGACACTAAAAAATTTTTGAAAGACATCTATCGAATGTTTGCGAACTTCAGGACATCATGCATTTGTTTGAATAGAAAAATGAATAGAAAAAGTCTTGATCATGTTGCACCGGAACATATTAATTAATGTTCACCACGAAATAAAACCGAAAATACCAATAACACTGATAAGTTATCCCAGAAGTATTAAAATGTGCACATGATGGATGTAATGAGATAATAAATGCATACGTTTAGCGAAAGCTGTTATTTAATACCATTATCACTATGTCACTAAACGTTTGTTCAGCAAGTCGCCCGGATTGAGATAACAGGAGAGCTGCCAGCATCTTCATCTCGAGCATCTTTGTTTGTAACAACTGAAACATAAGTTGCTGCTTATGCACACTCTCATAAACCAAAGGAAATACTTCGGTCTTTGCACATTAAAATTATGACGAGACTTCACCCGGAGGCTTTGCAACAGGAGTAGTGAATCTTTTGTTTCAAGAACCATTGCAGCTATTGATCCAACTTCTTCCTAGTCAGATCCGCTGTCATGTTGAACAGCATACTAGTCACTATTACCTCTTGTACAAATGCGGGAATATTCCACCTAAAACCTGGAAGATTCCTAGATCAACACTCGATAGTGTCTACGTTTACATCAGGAAAAGCACAAAAATAGTTCGTCCAAGATGGACCAAGATGGATTAGTGAGAAAAGATGTTAAGAAAAATGGCACCAAAAAAGCCATGCGCTTCTGACGCAGATGTCCCAGAAGCGTATCACATGCATGCGTGAGCATGAGCATTACTGCACTAATGGTCTGTCTTTACTACAGGGACAGCCTTGCGCACAATCGAGAAATAATACGCATTATTATCACTGTGCAAACATAAACGGAGAGCTAGTTGACAAATTCCGTTAGTCTTAATAGCTCTGAAATAATTATGCTGGTTGAGGCCAATCTTATCACACAGGTACGTAGATAGGTAGGCACAGTGACTAGATAGTACCGTGTTAACAGAAGTGGCGTTGTGTGGAACATCCTGTATCACCCCCATCCTAATGCGACGCGATGACCTGTAAAAACCAACTAACCTGATCGACGTTAGTCGTTCGTAGTATGCGTTTTCTCATTACTTGGTCACTGGTCTCTTCGCCCATCCACAAATTTCATTGGGTTAAAAAAACCGGTCCAGTTTCATTTTTTTATACGCTATCACGGCACTTGTCAGATCAGCTTGTCAAATCAGCTCTTTCCTATTAGAATGGTCAAAGGGCCACGGGTTTACTCTTCGCCAAACGTTCGAGCAGTAAAACATTTACAAACGGCCGACAATGGTGCTTTTTCTTGACCTGAAAGCCGTCTTCCTCTCCGTCGATCGCGCGACCTTTTGTTACTGCCTAGCCGTAAAAGGAGTGCCAGCTAAACTTTGTGCCATTCTGAAGTCTTTCTACCATGAGTACCGAGGACGTCTACGAGAAGATGTTTCCTGAATTCCCCACAGCAAGCAGGGTTCCCCATGGTTGTCCTATATCTCCTTTGCTCTTCAGCAACGTAATTGTAATGATCACGGATCATTCGGTACTTCCAGAATTTACCACAGTGAAAGTTCTTCTAGGTGACCGATTAACAAACCTTGATTATGCACAACTTTCCTTGGGTCTGACGAAACGGCTATGAAATACTGATGGACAGACTGAAATATAGCACTGTTAGGCTTCGGCATGTGCTTCGCACTTTGAAAGTGCAAAGTACTGTCACAGGATAGAACTGATAAGCCAGCGGTCCTAGCTAGCACCGAACGGCTACTGGAAGCGGTTGATCGGTTTAGTTACCTTGGTAGCTGTGTCACCTCTGGTGGTCACATCATTGAGGTAGTTACTTCGCGTATCAGTAAGGCCCGTGGTTTCCCAAAGACTCAACCATCTATGGAGACCGCGGGATGTTAGCCTGTCAAAGGTAGGGTGTATGATGCTGCTTTGAGGCCGGTCTTCCTTATGTACCAGAGACCTGGACAGTCCGCGGCGAAAACATTAAACGCCTGGTTGTGTTTGACTGCCGGTGCTTGCAGAGTATAGCTCAAGTTTGGTTGGAACACCGAGTGGCAATGCTGAGGTCCGCCTGTGGATTTTCGGCAAGAAGCTTTCTGGTTCCTCACGCGAGTGTTTGCTGAACCTTAACCTCTTGCGTTGGGTGAGCCATGTCCTCCGTATACCGCCCACTTCCTCGGCGTGCATTATAAGCCCTGGCTACACCAAAGTGAGTGAAAGTTCGAGGCATAAAGGCATGAAGAAATGAACTGAGAGACTTGGTCAGGCTGGTGCATATCATCTTCGTGGATTGGGACCTAGGGATGGCCCACAGAGTGACTGGAAGCCCTGTCAGACATGGCGCAGTCACGCACGCAGTTGTGTTACAGCATTCGGTAACTTGCAACTGTTTGTTAATTATCGTTCCATTCTGATTTGTCAAACGCAGCTGCTTCTTGCTACCATTTTCTTTACAAGCTGTTTACATCCAACCCCACTATTTGACCGCTATTGGTTACCGTTATTCTTACGTCGTCGGGGCGGCAACTGGCTCCACTGCACTTCGGTGCCTAGATCATAATTGTTCAATTGAACTGAACTGAATGCCACTGGATAATCCAGACCATTGCATGGCACCAGCGTTTTGCTGTGTAAGTTTATTTCCAATTTTCCCATTGAAAGTAGACAGTGATGCCGGAAGTTACGTCAAATAAATTCATGAAGAAGGGATAAATAAAAAACGCATAATTTCCTTGTGTTTTTAGGGGAAATTAGTTCTGGTTTTGACACCGTATGCATGATATCCATCGGGAACTATTATGTGAATAGCCCAGAAAAAAATCACAATTTTACGCAGGTGAAATGGCGATTTTTCTTCCGAGTGTTCACGAAGGATGGTTCTTAAGATAACTGACCTCGCAAGCTACGTCCTATCGACGTATTTGTAGCCATCAATCAGTACGGAAATCTGCATAGTTTCCCCACCTCTTTCGATGCAAAATTCCTATCAAACCAGTAGTGCTTATTGGCCATCAGGTATTGCTATTGTATAAAAGAAACAATTTCAAAGCGTCACTTTACACATCCTGGTGGCGTAAACTTCTCAAGCACACTTGAGTAGCCTGGTTCAGACGGAAATCTTCAAAAAAGCGCGGATGCTGATAGTTGGGCATGTCGCTGGTTATCGGTTCTCATGGCAACCACCTCTTACAAGAACATCTTGGTCACGTGGTCCACAGTTTTATTGTTTGGCCGTTATTCGCATAAAGGACTTTGTTCCCACTTTTGGGAAGAAATAATTTTCAATTTTGAAACCCTTTGTGAAGACGTACCTAGTAACAAGATTAGGCATTTCTACATGAACGATTGGAACAGTGTTTAACACAGGGGACATTTAGTTGATAATTGTTTCCGTATTCGGGTCCAACATTGGAAACAGTAATACTTACTTGCTTTGTGTGACACATACAGAAACAGTAATTGATACTTTAGCCGCCTGGAACTCTGGTTCTAATTTGCTGTACTTTGGCGCAACCACCTGTTTGCAATACGATTATGTACTATTTCAGCTCAGCATCATAAAACTCTATTTCGTCCACTTAAGTCTCTTTTTACCATGCTCACGGCAACGTTAGCTCTGAAGTCTGATGTTAAAGTGTTCACTTGGGTTTCACATCTCCCGTCTGACGAGGCATAGACCGACACAGATAGCGAGCAACAAATGAGTTCTCGAACGTTATCCTCTGTCAAACACTGCATACCTTCTCCTGGATTTCTTGGTAGCACCAACCTCATTTGATCTCACTGTGTGCGTCAATGAAAAACTGGATACTCTTGTTTACAACACGCAGTTATATTTAATCTGGTAGCACAACCTTTTTTGTTGCCGTTAAAGCCGCTGGGGATGAACGATGGCAGCACAGTATTAACTTAATCGGTTACGTGCGATTGACTAAGGCACAAATCAGTTGCACGCACAAACACAGACTCTACTGGCTACCAAGCCAACCGTGGATGGGCAAACTTAGTATTATCCGCAGTTCTCTTACAGCCAGATAACCAGGCTGGGCGAGGGGTGTTAGTGAAAGCGCTACACAACCTGAATTACATTATCCAGAATCGAAGCTGTTGTGTTGACATTTGGCATACTTTCCCATCCGGAGAGAAGCATGTTCCATGTTGGAAAACTTGGAGGACACTTGGAACCTACCGCGAAATCCTGCTACACTCAGCCATTGTTTAGAGCACTGTTTCCCTAATATGTGTGTACGATGAATTTGGGCAACGAGTGACAGTAAGTGAAGGGACTTTCCTGATACAGACAAGATATTCGCGTATAAAAAATCCCCGTCTTTTGTCCGTTCAGCCCATAGAAACGAATTGTGGTAACTTGTAAGTAATACCAGGATCTGCACTTAGTATGAATTTTATCACTACTCGTCAGTATAGTTTACTGTGTGAA